CCACTGATCAGCTCCAGCTCGGCCTCACTTCCACTGACCCGCTCCAGCTCCGTCTCACCTCCACTGATCCGCTCCAGCTCCCCCTCACCACGGCCTGGTCCCTTCGTCGGCCGCTGAGTGGTATGGAGGTTGGCCGACTGACGATACCTTACCACAGGCGGGTGAACGCTCCCCATGCTAGTGGCTTGAAGTACGAACAAATCACGGCTGCAATCAATAATTATTAAACCACAATGAATATCATCAAGGTGTTTTTCTTAAAGGGGGTGTCCCACATTTGGGACATATTTCAAAAACAAAATCTAGTGATGAAACCTTAGGACCAGTTACATCTAATAATAACACTGGGTAGTACCGTTGCAGCGCCGGCAAGGCATTTAAGGATACGAATCTTGGTTATTTTCGAGTCCAAATTACGCTGTCAACACTTTGTAACAGCGCTACGCTTCTTCCCTGCAGTTGTCGCGACCATCGTCACCATGACAACCACCATAGCACCAATGCTGGTGCGAATAAAAAAACATTCGTGGCTGGCTCATTGAGCGGCAAGGGCCTGTGGCCGAGAAGTGCATCGGTTGAAGTTTGAACTAGTACATCACTATTCGTGATGTTTGAACCAGTACACACATGTGATATTCTCATTCCCCAAGCAAAAGTGCACCTCGAAAAGAACCTCTGTGGTTAACACCATTAGGGAAAAGTCAAAGCCATGGCATAACGTTTTGTTGAATGAGTGGGATAACTTCATGTTCGCGTATCGTTTTGTCTAAACAGGGTGTTTCAAGCTTCCATAGAACCTTGTCACAGACATTTTGAAAAACTAGCGTGTTGCCAGCATTGTAGACCTCACACGCGGGAAACAGCAAGACAGGTAAAGTACTATTAGTGGTGAGCATGGAGTGAGAGTGAGAAATTCATCCCACAGGAGCGGCTACTTGAAATAAAAAGTATAAACCATCCAGAAGGATTTGGAAAAAATTAGTACTACTGATCGAATCGAAGGCGTCTGATCTAACAATACGTGAAAAGTACAAACAAGGTGGCGTGCTCCCTTTAGGACCAATTTCCATAGCACATTTATGGAGCAACATGATTCTCACTTTCCCTCAGAAGTACAACTAGTGCTAAACATCGCCGTAATTGCCTGCCCTGCCGGTGATTTCTGTCTAAAGCAAAATGTAGTTCACGCACAAAGTTCGTCGCTCGTCGGGCACCCTCAGACGTGCCACGTCGCCCCGCCTGTCTCGGAGCTGTGGACGCAGCCAGGACTCTCTCCTGGCCTGCGTCCTATAGTGGAGCTATGGCCACCGCCGGGACTCTCTCCTGGTCTATTCTGAAGCTGTGGTCGCCGCCGGGACTCTCTCCCGACCCGCGTCCTGTTCTGGAGCTGTGGCCGCCGCCGGGACTCTCTCCCGACCCGCGTCCTGTTCTGGAGCTGGGAGCCGTGGCCACCGCCGGGACTCTCTCCCGACCCGCGTCCTATTCTGAAGCTGTGGCCGCCGCCGGGACTCTCTCCCGACCCGCGTCCTGTTCTGGAGCTGGGAGCTGTGGCCACCACCGGGACTCTCTCCTGACCCGCGTCCTGTTCTGGAACTGGGAGCTGTGGCCACCACCAGGACTCTCTCCCGGCCCGCGTCCTATTCTGCAGCTGTGGCCGCCGCCGGGACTCTCTCCCGACCCGCAACCTGTTCTGGAGCTGTGGCCGCCGCCGGGACTCTCTGGTAGCCCGCTTCTGTACTGCCTTACCGGCAACGAACCCCCCCCCCCCCTCAACAAAATGTCATTGGGGCCGAAATGTGTTCGCCAAAACTCTCAACACCGAAGTGAATGGTATCAGCGGATAATTCAGTCTATCCATGAATGGGAAATGAAAGCACAACAAATGTACACAACTCGAACCCCAAAATCAGTCGTCAAAGCTGTCATTTTCCATCTTGCATCACGACTGCTGGCACATTGATCGCACCGCAACATGAGGAATGCCTTTACCGGCAGCGGTGTAGCCAGCGTGTACCACTCGCCGCGTGCAAGCGCGGGTCGTGTTTACGCCGTGTGGCGCACGCCCCGTGACCCGGTCGTGGTCCCAGCTCCGGCGGTACCACCGGGCTGCAAAGCGTGCCCAGGTCTACCGAAGGCTCGGAATGGAATGCGAGACTCAGAAGGAGCGAAACGTTCTCAGTTTGTGGTTAAAGCGGATGCGGGTATGAGCATACGAGTGGAGTTTCTGGTCTCTGAAGGGTCCTTTCGCCTCCCACGAGTTTCATCAAATTTTCGAGGGTTGTACAGTTTCGTTGGCGAGGAATACTAGACAAAATCGAAGGCAATCTTGCGTTCCCCGTGTTCTGCGTGTCTTTTGTTCCAATTTCGCCTGATTGTCTTGAGTACACCCGATGCAGTTTGGCACGGCATCGCTCTGACGCTTTGGGCCCTCTACGATCTTCTAAATGCTTGCACAGGGATGCAGCCCAAAGCTTTCCCGGTTCTCGGCTCGTTACGCGTCGTGGAGGCGCTTTGTTGTTGTGCCCACCACCACAACAGCAGGGATCCAACGAGGCACCAGCACCGGCCCAGCGCATGCCAGCCTTTCAACATAGCTCTTCAGATAGAGCAGGTTCACAACGGTGCGTTCGGTTCGAGAACAAGTCAGGTAGATGTAAGAACCCTCCCCAACCCAACGATGCTGATGCGTCTCACGCCTCTGGCCTTAAATGGCGTGAAAAGATGACCTGCCTGCCCCTGGTTGTGCTGCCGACTATGTTGTGCCACCTTGACCCGCCGTTAGTATTCAGTCTGTGTGCTCTGCATACGGTGCAGTGCTGCGCGGTTCGTCAACGCCCACGTGTTGCCCATCCCGTGCACACGTTATCTCCCCTCCTGTTCGGCTCAGGCTCTCGCTCTGGCTCAGAATCTGGATCCAGCTCAGACGCTTGTGACAACGACCACAATTCCAGCTTTGTTTCCGGCTCCAGGCTCGCTGCCTGCCCAACTCGTCCTCGTGTTGTCGCCATGGCCCTGCGAATAGGTTTTGATCTATGGCTTTAGCTCCGGCTCCGGTTCTGCCCCTAGGCTGCTCTAGATCCAGCCTGAAGTGGTGGTCACTTCCGCTCCACGAAGTGCTGCGTAGCGGCGTTAGTCGCGCAACCTTTTGCAAAGCATGGATCCGGCATTAGGGTTGAGCTGTTCCGGACTCGACCGCTATCCCCTCCCCCCTTGGGCAGCCCCGTTCAGGCGTGATCTGGCTTCCCGGCCATGTGTCCGAATCCAGCGTCCACCTAGGCCCAACTACGCCTCCGGCTCCGGCTGTGGTTCCGGCTATCGGGCTCCATGTCGGGCGAACGGGCCCGCTTTATTTGCAAAGTTTCCGCCGATCGTTCGCCGACGTCGTTCTTCGTCGGCTTTCCAATAACTCGCCAGCTGCATTTGAAACTCGCCAGCTGCATCTCTGCCCCGGGCGGCTGGGAGCCCATGGGCGGCTCGTCCGTACTCAGGCGACGTCAGGTCGGGGATCGGGTCAGGTCAGGCGACGTCAGGTCGGAGGTCGGGTCAGGTCAGGCGACGTCAGGTCGGGGATCGGGCCAGGTCAGGCGACGTCAGGACGGAGGTCGGGTCAGGTCAGGCGACGTCAGGTCGGGGATCGGGCCAGGTCAGGCGACGTCAGGTCGGGGATCGGGCCAGGTCAGGCGACGTCAGGTCGGGGATCGGGCCAGGTCAGGCGACGTCAGGACGGAGGTCGGGTCAGGTCAGGCGACGTCAGGTCGGGGATCGGGCCAGGTCAGGCGACGTCAGGTCGGGGATCGGGCCAGGTCAGACAACGTCGGGTGGGAGGTCGGGTCAGGTCAGGCGACGTCAGGTCGGAGGTCGGGTCAGGTCAGGCGACGTCAGGTCGGGGATTGGGCCAGGTCAGGCGACGTCAGGTCGGGGATCGGGCCAGGTCAGGCGACGTCAGATCGGAGGCCGGGTCAGGTCAGGCGACGTCAGGTCGGAGGTCGGGTCAGGTCAGGCAAGGCGGGGCCAGTCCCAATCAGAGTGCCGAAATTGGGCTCGGGCTGGCGCAGTTGCTCCTCATGCCAGCGAGTGGGGATTCGGGCTGCGCGTGCTCCCTTTTGCGCCCTTGGCAAGCTCGGGCGCAGGCCCAGCACGGCCCAGTAAGGTCAGATCTGGTCAGCTCGGCCCAGTAAGGTCAGGTCTGGTCAGCTCGGGCCGGAGGAGATCAAGCCGCATGCTGCCAGGGGCAACCGGCACATGGGCTCTATTTGGCTGCAGATCGACGAGGTCAGGTCGGAGTCGATCAGGCGTTGAGGTGGGGTGAAAGTAGGTTCGACATGGGCGTGTCACGGGTTGTTGCGTTGACCTGACCCTGCTGAGGTCATCGTCCTGGGCTTCCTCAACAAGTCAGCGGCTGCCGGCCAGCCAGGTCGGTCCCGTCACGCGGTGGCGGGTCGGCTGATGGCGCCGCGTGGCGTCACTGCGGCAGGCCTCACGATCATCTGATCACCGTGCAGCCAGCTGGCGGTGTTTGCTGACCATCTCGGCGCATGCGTCATGGTCAGATGTGGTCACTTCCTTTGCAGTTTGTGGAGTACCGATAGTTAAAATGCTTGAGCCGCTCGTCTGGTAAACTGGAGGTGCGGGACTCGATTCCCGCGATGCGCGCAATTTCAGCCAGGGTGAGGGGCATGCCACGCCACAAAGACATGGCTTTTAGTTGCTATCGGAGTGAGCTAGAGTTTCTTTTCTCGGAGTGAAGGATTTCTTTTCACTGGTTCTAGGAAGATAAACCTTTGACATTTATCCCTTAATGGCGAGGTGTCATGTTGTATTCAGCTAGGTAATCATACATTTTAATAGTTAACCCTATTGTGCATATTACGGAACATGGAATAGTCGATATTCCCCTGTTTTTTCCTGAGCACACCATACATTGTTCAGTCAATTGTGTTGCACACTTAACAACATTTCCATTGTATGTATATTCAGGTCCCCCCTTTGTGTGGTTTCAGAGGAGCCCAGAAGTCGTCATAGAAAGGAAGGAAGATGGCGTCCACATATCCTTGGCAGGTAAGTTTGCGAATGGTGAGCATTTGTATGTAAGCGTCGGCTGGCAGCGAAAGTTTGCTTGTTATGCGAGGCCCGTTCAGTCAGAATTGTATAACGCGCTCTGCCGCCCGGGACAGATTGGAAGTCGTTTTACGACTACGTAAGCCATGCATATGAAGGCCCCAGGCGATTCCAGTTGGAGTGTGCTGCGCTATGTAATGTGTCGCGCAATCAGGGGCAGGTCCAGCGTCGGATATTTTTTTTGGGGGGGGGGGCGATGTCTGTCATCGGGTCACAAGCTCCCAATTTGACGCAAATTGTCCCAGTATGCAGCACAAATATTGCAAAATTGGATGCTTTCAATAGCCCGGTGTGTGCCACGCTGTTCCCCCTTGGATCCTCTCCCATGTGCAATAGCACGCTGGCATGTGACAGTGTAACACATTGTGTGGCATAGCACGCGGTGTTGCACTCCCGGGCATAGCTGCGCCATACGTGGCACCCATTGTACCCTGGCACTTCACTAGCGCGACATTTTTCATAACTTTTCATTCATACCTGATTGGATTGAAAACCAACTGAACCAACATCCTGAAGCTTGTGCAAACTAAGGGCGCATTGGCCTAGCGCATTTGCGTTGACGTTCCCAGGTCATGTCATAAAGATGTGACTTATTGCAAACCTATGCAACGAGGTTGAGTCAAACGCTTTAGTGCATAACGTACGCATTTTCCTGGAACAGTTCTGAATTAGGACAGCGATAAAGTGAGGAGGTCTCACCTTCAATCAGCTTCTGGTTCTCAGGTCACTGAGAATGCTTGACTTAGTGCGTTGAAACAGCCAAACAACTCAGAAAGCACTATCGGGAGCATCGTTCTTCACGGCCGCATGCGTTGCCTGCGATTGCAGCCGTGGACCGCTAAAGGCCTTCGTGACGATGCAAACACGACAGAAAGCTTTCCGATTCAATCTTATCGTTGCTCAAATCCGGACCCTTGCTCCCACCGTATCTCGGTACATTTCGAAAGAGGGTGTGCGTCCCACGACAGGTTTTACCTCCGCAACCACCACCGATCGGAAGAACACACGCCCACGGAGAAAGGGCGGAAGCATATGTTTCCCCAAACTTCCCACTGGCGTATTACCATGACATGGACAGATTAATGTGTGTGACAAAAGCATAAAATCTGTGTGACTTTTATGAGCATTACAGCATTAACTTTCTTTAGCGCGCGGTCTTAGTATTCCGGCTTTCTTTTGGGCTGGCATTCCTGAATGGGTGTGATTCCTAGAAAGCGATTATCACCTTCCTGTGCTGGGCCCGGTGTCCGCCCCTAGGCCCCAGTCATGAGAGCAGTCTTCGGACACATCGGTTCACAGGACCACCCTCAATAGCAGTTAGGATCATAGAAGTGACCTGCCTGTAGATTGGGAGGAGCCCACCTGACCCTCGGAGACGCCGGCCGCTCGGTTTCTCCGTCGCGACGTTGCCGAGCTCATTTGGAGAGAACTGCTCGCGTTTCATCGCTTAGAACTGCTGGAGTCGGCCAGGGTAGGGGCGCACTGAGAAACGTCCGGTGGTGGGGTGCGATTTCAGACGGCAAGCGCAAAACGTAATCCGCAGCTTCCGTATTTTTGTCGTGCCGCTATCCTGTCCAAATATTTTCTCTCTTGGCTTGAGGGCCCGTCAACAACAGCGGAGAAGCTGTTACCCTTGAACTCTAGTGGCCACTTTCCAAACCCTCCGTCAAAAACCCTTCCCACTCTCTGCATGACGTAATATACGGACACAGCAGACTGGTCTGTCGCCTTGACTTGGGCTGGTTTCTCTAACTACCTGGCTTTGCAATCTGCCTCTATTGGGCGCTGATGCCGATTGACATGTGTCTGTCTCCTGTCACTCTGTGTGCATCACACAATGGCCAGAACATTGAACGACCCGCCAGGTTTGATCGATACCGCGGAGACACCTAGTGTGCATGGTCTTTTCAATTGACGCATTTGCGAAGGAAAGCACTTCGATGCACACCCAATGCAGTAATGCACGATCAATGCATCCGAATGTGATGCCATCAAACGCTGATGCGAGATAAGAACTACGCCGGACACAAATTAAGACTTAAATTTTCGCCGGGCTCATCTGCTTTACTTACCCTTATACTTATGGGCTGCCCATGCTGATATATTTTGCTGGATCGGTTTATGTCGGCAGAAGCACAGTGTGAAAGCTGGGCAATTAATGCACTGACTGCTGCTTTTTTCCCAACAATGGATCCCTGCCTAGTATCTGTCCGAAATGCGCAAAGCAAAATGCGATCGATTATTCAGTATTATCCTCTGCAAGGCAATCAATTTTTTAGCCTCATCTCCTGTTCGGCGATAGATTCTTCAGTTTCATCTCCTGTGAGACGATTGATTCTCCAGGCTCATCCTCTGTCGGGCGATCGCCTTTTCAGTCTTATCTCCTGTTCGACGATTAATTTTTCAGTTCCGTCTCCTGTCAGGCGATTGATTCTTCAGTCTCATCCTCTGTCAGGCGATCAATTTTTCAGTCTCACCTCCTGTTCAAAGATTGATTCCTTCAGTCTGATCTCCTGTCAGGCGATTGATTCGTCAGTCCCATCCCCTGTCAGGCGATCGATGCTTCAGTCTCATCTCCCGCCAGGCAATCGATTTTTCATTATCCCCGGCCAGGCATTGACGCTTCAGTCTCATCCCTACCAGGCAATCAATGTCTTATCCCTGTCGCGTGATCGATGGTTTAGTCTCATCCCCTCTCAGCCGGTGCAGACGTGAATGGTATCCAGGGACTCGCCTCCAGCTTCCCTGAAGATCATGCCGGTTACACACGAAGCTGCTATGGGCGATGTGTGTACGAGATCATGTGCATCTTTCAACAAAGGTCCTTCGGTTTATTAATAGCGTCATTGCCGACCCTCCTCGTCTGACCCTGACCAGGCGGTACGCCCGGCTCACACCAGTACTGGCTGGCTCGGCGCTCCCAAGGCTGGGGGGCGCCACCCGATTCTTCTGATCCTCACGTGCTGGATTGCGCTGCTACACCCGGTGCCCAGCAGGCGGCCGAGACGCCGACTCCGTGTAGGAACTCGTGGGGGAGGGGGGAGAGGGCAGATTCGGACACCTACGTCATATGGTGGCAGCGAGACTTTGGAGAGACTGAGGACTGACCGTTGAGTCAAGGCGAAACGTGGCAGGCATGATATGGAGGCTCTGGAGTGGGGACTTGTGTCTTCCTGGCGCCTTGTTTAGGTGAGCAACGCAGGCATTGGAACCAGATGGTTCCTTGGTTTACTGAAATACTAGGCGCTCGCTCGGTGTTTCCACCTGGGCCGAGTTGGTCTCCCTGGGACCTGCACAATTGGTGCCACGTGATAAGATCGCTGTCAGTGCCGAGTAAGCTGCACCAGCTGCGTGATGGGCTCGTTATTTACCGGCGCGTGCGGCCGTAGGTTTTTGTTCTGAAGCGTCGCTGGAGTAGTTGCGCCATTTGTGATGGCCACGTGCAGCTGTCACACTTGAACCGTTTGCGTTTAGCGAACTCTTTTCTAATGCATTTTGCGTGCTGTGGCCACAGGTTGTGAATAGTCCAACAGGAGGCCAGAATCATTCTGCCCACTTAAGGCAGTCGTGCTGATCTTTCCGTTTGCCTCCCTCCCGCAACAATCCCGTCTGCCTCCCTTCCATAACAAAGCAGGTGAAAACCTTGGCAGATGATCTTCCGCTCCTGCTGCGGGTCTCATCACGGCACGTGGTAGTACGCTATGATACGCAATGTGGCAGCATGCGCTTTCCTGAGCCTAAACCAAGGCTTAACGGTTGACCTCCGATAAAGTGGCTGCACCCAGCTGGATGCTGAAGTGAGTGCTCGGCTCTGTTCCGTTGAATCAAATTTGCCGGCAGATTGAGGGTCGACGGGTGATGGGGATGAAACATATTCAACTCCATTCATATTGATGCGATGCACTCGTTAAACGGACGTCCCAGGCACGAACGGAGGTCGCAGCCAACTTTGTGCATGTATTTGGCTTGACTCTGCGCTTTCGTTTGACACTCCTATAGGGCGCCAAACATGGTATATTTCTGAGGAGCGTGTCTCATTCTCAATAACTGTATTCAAGTATCGATGCACCGAGGAACGCAATTGCAGAGCAGACCTGTTTTTTACCGATTTAGCATGCAGGAACAGCGCTCAGGACACGCGGCGCCCCTGCAGTAAACACAGCCTCGTAGCTGTGAGGGCAAGGCGCGAGCCTGCTATCACAGTGTCATTGTTCATGAGCGTGCGTCGCCGACACGCGCGCCCTTCACCTCTGGGACTCGCGTCTCCCAGGTGTCGCGATAGATGCAGCACCGGCCGTGCCGCCGGGTAATCACCGACGTCACTTGTCGTCCGCCGAGCGGCGACGGCGCGACGAGCAGAGGAACCCACCAATCACGGTCATTCAGTGTTCGCACCTGTCTATTGGCCGCCGATGTGCGCTGTCCAATCAGCGGTCACGCTCGTGTCGCCCGGGGGCATTCGACGGCCGCGTGTTCGGAGACGCCACGGCGCGCCGGCCCGGTGACTGGCAGGGATGCGCCCGCCGCCCCGGCGACGGACAGGGATGCGCCCGCAGCCCCGCCGCCCCGGCGACCCGCCGCCCCGGCGACCCGGCGACCCGGCGGCTAGCGCGGCTCATCGGTGGTGCAACGCGTCTGGGCCGACGCCTGAGCCCAGCAGCCTGTGCACCCTAATCCAAGACAAGCGTCTGGGCTGCTGACAGGGTGCTGATCTGGCGCGCGCTGAACCCGGGGTCGCGCGATCCTTGCCGACTGACTCAGCCCCCCCCCCCCTCCCAACCCCCTCCGCCCGGACCGAGCGGTCACCTGAGGTCATCATGGTCATGCAGATGGTGCAGTGATGTCCCCCCCCCCGCTCCGTCAACAATGGCCGTTTACCTCGAGACTCCAATGGATCGGTGGGGCGCAAATTGTCAGTCAAATTAAAAAGGTCGTTGTCA